TTTTAAGTTCTTTATAGATTCTGGATAGTAGACCTTTGTCTGAGGAACAGCAGGTGAAAATTTTTTCCCACATTGTGGGTTGTCTCTTCACACTGCTGGTGGTTTCTCTTGTTGTGCAGAAGCTTTTTAATAAGAGATCCCACTTGGTTGTTTGTGCTAGTTCATGGGCAACTGAGGTTTTGTTCACAAAATCTTTTCCTGTACCAATGTCTTTCAAGAGTTCTACTTAACCTCTGTTCCAGCTGGTTCAGTGTTTCTGTTTTAATATTTAGATTTTAATCCATTTTGATTTTAGTTTAGTGCATGGTGAGAGATACAGGTCTAATTTTAGCCTTTGGCAAGTTGAAACCCAATTTCTCCAGCACCATTTATTAAAGAGGCTATCTTTCCTCCAGTGAGGGTGGTTGGCTCCTTTGTCAAAGAGGTGACTGAGTGTGTCTGGAGTTGTTTCTGCATCTTCTAATCTGTTCCACTGGTCCTCAGACGACCTGACTTTTTAATTAGATCAATGAATATTTATGGTATTAGGGTTACTTTTTATCAAGGGAGTTTTACATTTTGGAATATATGTATATATTTTAAGTTAACAATCTTTTTAGAGTGCTTAGTTCTTCTTTTATTCTTACGTGTTTCACCATTTCATTGTGGGTTATTTTTAAGGTTTCTGGGGGTGATAGGGGGCATACTTTGTCTTCTGTAATTGGTTTCCTTTTAATTTTTTCTTAAATACTTTACTGTCACACAACTTAAAAAGAAAGCTTGTAGATGAAAGGAAAGAACTCTATATTATTTAATGACAGTCATTATATATAGTACAAAGATGAAAGTTTTTAGAGTTGTGCCTTAATTTTGTGTGATCTCAGAAGTTTCTTATATATCATTATGGTTTAAAATATTACTGTTTGTACTTAGCGTTCAACTAGTGAACATTTCTTTTTCATATGGATATTTTTTTTAAAAATCAAAGCAATAGTTAATGTGCATGAAAGCCTTAGTAATTTTCTATTGAATCCATTGCTGTTTTATGCCCCACACTTCATTTTGTAACTGTCTCCCTGAAATTTTCTTAAGTGCTTGGTGACAAAACTAAATTATAGTTTAAGACAAACAAAAATAGTGAGAGCACTCAAAACAAAGGCTATTTGCATTTTTAGTATTCTGGGTTTCTGTTGTGACCTTTGATTACCAAAGAACATTCTACCTACCAGTGGCAGCTAGGCCTCTGGGCACAGGTGTGTCCTGAAAACTAGGTCCTGAGATTTGTATTGCCTTTTTATAAAAGCAGTTCATACATTTATGGCCTTTCTTTCTGTCTTTAGAAACCCTTTACGGCACTTCTCTTCATACTGCGAGATACGTTCACCAATGTTTACTTCTTCTTCTTCCAGTAGTGGCCACGGAGGAGGTGGTTACAGCAGAGTCCGTGGATGGTGCAATTCAGCAAGTAGTCAGCTCAGGGGGTCAGCAGGTCATCACCATAGTTACAGATGGGATCCAGCTCGGAAACTTGCACTCTATTCCGACCAGCGGGATAGGTCAGCCCATCATTGTGACCATGCCAGACGGACAGCAAGGTCAGTAGTAGACATTTATATCAGGTTGATGTTATTTTCAGTTCTCAGGAAATTGGGATGTATTTTCCAAACTACTTATTTTTGTCTCGAATTATTTTTTGAAACCTTTTGCAGTAGACATAACTGCCTAATATTATTTGCTTAGGCTGATGCTAACATGAGCTTGAAGCTGAGCTTGTACCTGTGATCCTACCACTTGCAGGAGCAGGGGCAGGGGCTTTGAATCTGGCCTGGGCAGTTTAGTACGACCGTCTCAAAATATGAAAAGAAAAGAAGAGGGCACGGTGTGCTGTGAAGGCCCTGAGTTCCATCCCCTAACCACCAAAAGAGGCTTAAATACCACCACAGACAGTGTAGAAACCAAGTCAGCATTGGCTAATGCTTTTCTGCACCATGTCATGCAACTTACGTAGCATATGAACTTTAAAAAATCCCATGTACGAAGAGCTCCTGAGTTCTTCCCCAAGTTGAGCTTGGGGCTTGTAGTAGGAATATGGTGACAGTTTTTATATGTTTATTGTAAATTTCCCCCATTTTTTTTCTTTTGAAACCACAAAGAGTAACAAGATGAATGAAACAAAAGCTCAGACACATTCCAAGTCCAAGAAAACCTCAGAATTCCACATTTTAAGAGCTGCCCAAAGCACTGAGACCATCACAGCCAAGGCAGGAGGACTCAGACACCCACAGGGTGCATTAGGGAAAAGTGAGGCAGGGCGCGGAGAGCCCAGTGAGCGCCCACACCCGGGCATGGGGCCCAGGCTGTGGGGAGGAAGTGCTGCAGGCCTGGATAAGAGAGGGAGGCAGGAGGATCCTGAGAAGGCAGAGGGGAGGGCCGCACAGCCTGTCTGAGCAGGGCCCCCCGACTTCGCTCCATCCCCACCGCAGGAAGGAGAATGGCCAGGCATGCCGACTGCCTGTTCTCTGGAAAGGGAAAGAATTGGCGGAGGTAGAACTTCTAAACCAGGTTTGGTTTTGAGTGACAGAGGAGGTGTGGCGCTAACGAGAGACCAGATTCAGGAAAAGGCATTGTTACTGTAGCACAGAGGAGGGAACCTGCACCGTGAGTGGGCTCGGTGGCCTCTCTCTCCAGGCTGCAGAAACCGCCTGCTGATGGCTGGTCCAAGAGTTGGGTCAGGCCTCTGTGCTTTGTGAAGCTATGAAGAACCAACTCTTAATTGTTTAGAAGCAAAGAAAACACTTAGAAATATTTGCATCAAGCAGATAGAAAATGTGACGTTATACAGACTAAAATTACTATTGAACAAATGGAAGGAGAGCCATGATTTATGACGAGAAGGCTCAAAAAATCATCAAGTTTTCAATTCATGGTTAATTTATAAATGTGGTGCATCATAAAAAAAGACCATTAGTTTGCTTGTAAAGCAGTGTTCGGGCTGGGCCTTAGGAGCAGCAGAAAGACGGTGTCGCAATCTGGAGGCGGAGCCAGCCCCACGGCGTCAGCAGGTATGGTGGCTCCTGCGGCCTCCCTTTGGCTTGCATGTGGCCACCCCAGCTGGGTCCTCCCCTGGGCCGCTCAGCCTGTGTGGCGGTGGTGTCTGTGTCCTGGTCACTGTGGTCATAGGACACCTCATTTTACCATAACCACCTCTTGGAAGGCCTTGTCTCCTGCCAGAATCCCTTTCTGAGTCCCTGGGCTTAGGACTTCAGTGTCTGAATAATTCCCGGTGTGGGATGGGGGAGGACACAACTCAGTCTGTAACAGATCACTTGCCGAATGGTTCTGTTACGTTGATGGTGAGAGGAGGAAAGAAGAAAAACACAGAAACTCTGGAAGAAGTGTGAGGGGGCCTACTGAATATTAAAGAAAACTTTAAAATGCTGCTGTAGATGTTGGGATGGTTTTGCATGGTCCTGTCCTGCAGAGCAAGGGCAGCCTCTCTCTGAATTTACTTTCCTGTGGAGAACAGGTCTGTGATGTGTTCATGATCAGACATCCGCACGGCAGGATCAGCCTCTCATAGGAGGGAAGCTGTCTGAGTGCTTGTGTGAGAGACAGTGCGGACAAATGCAGCGCAGTGTACTGGGTGTGTCGTCCCAGTGGTGCACTTGCAGGCGTGCTGTCTGCACACAGCATCCTCGTTTTCACACACATTAGTGCAGGAACACACAAGAAACTAATACAAAGTGATTGTATTGGTAGGGGTGGCCATGAGACCTCTCAAAATATGCTTGTTAAATATTTGGATTCTAGGCTGGGATGTAGCTCAGTGGTTCTGCCACCTGCCTCGAAAGTTCAAGGTTCTGAGTTTGATCCTGGTACCAAAAAAAAAATTTGGATTCTAAAGCTATGTGAATGAACATGTTATTTATAAAATTTACAAACTAGATGTTACTTAAAGTAGATTTCAATACAGAAGCCAGAAAGTGAAATAGACAAATACAGAGCAAGTCAGTGTTTTGAAATTGGTTGGAACATGTGTATTTTAGGTGAGCGGCACCAACAAAGTTACTTCCAGCTTTATTTCTATTAAAGGTACCTGAGAATGAAGTAATGTGTACATTTTCCGTTCTAGTGTTAACAGTTCCTGCGACAGACATTGCTGAAGAAACTGTTATAAGTGAAGAGCCGCCAGCTAAGAGACAATGTATTGAAATAATTGAAAACCGGGTGGAATCTGCAGAAATAGAAGTAAGGAGTCTTTTACCCGGTGTGTTTTGCGGCAATCATCCAAAATAAATTCTTTTTTATTTTTTATTATTATTTTGTCTCATATTTATTACAGTGTGTTTTTTTTTTTTTTGGATACAGAATGAAAGTGCATGGTATTATTATCCTTTTGTTTACTTTTTTTTTTGCCTTACACATATAGCAAGCCCTCAATAAATAAATATTGAATGAATGAGTGAGTGAAGCATTTGTTTGTGACGAAGCCTGCCATCCTGGTAACATTGGAATGTCTTTGGTTTTCACAATCCACCCTTTGTTTTCTGTTTATCTTCTACGTGTCATTCTCATAAGTCATTAAAGGAAAATACAACTATATATGGACTAAAAACATCTTTTTTCTATCAAAAGTGAAACTCAAATAAATGTCTACTTGGGCTGTCCAAGGTCCTTGTAAAGAAGGCTGATGTTTGTCCAATGGGTTGCATTTTTTAAAATAGTATATAGCTGCTAAGATTCCCCTTCTTTCCCGTCACACCAGTTTCTAAGTGTGTACTAGTTTGTAGTGTAACAAAACCACAATTACCCCACAGGGTTTTTACCCCTCACATGAGTATAAATAAGATTGTTTCCTGAAGTCATAATTTATATAAAATGCAAACAAGGTTGTTTTTTAATATCTGCTGTGTAAATAGAATTGAACTTGAAATCAGTTAAGCTGGGTTTGGAATGCCCTCTTTTGACCACCAACTTTAAAGCAAATTGTCTTATCTTTCTGAGTCTCATTTATTTTCTTCTACTTTGGAAACTAGAATGATAATCATCTCCATTTTAGGGTTTTTATGAATATTGCAAAAGCATACTCTTTATATAGTATATTTGTATCTGTTACAAGCATAGTAAATTTGGTGAATATTTAGTAGTTCTTTTAAAAGTTCTTTGGGGCTGGGAATTTAGCTCAGTGGCACCGCGGCTGCCTCGAAAGTGCAAGGTGCTGAGTTTGATCCCCGGTACCAAAAAAAAAAATTCTTGTTATTACTACAGGAAGGGGACTTTCTGTAAAAATTTACTAAAAAGGCAGCATAACTGAAGACTATTAGAATATACCTTTGTATACTCATTTAAATATCAGACTGCTATATCTTTGACTATAATCATTATTGAGTTTAAAAGAATTTGATTAATGGCTTAACCAGAATGTCTGGTAAAATTACAACTTTATTCAGTGTGGGTTGTTTTCAAAATTTAAAGTGATATGCAGGATAATGAAGTTCTTATTCACTATTCCATCAAGTAATACCAGCATACTTATTATTTAATACTCTTTATTGTCATTTTCTGACTTGTCAAATGGTCTTTTTCAAGCATACAAGGTGAAAAAATTTTGTCGAAACATTTTAAATAAAACATTTAAAAAGTTATCTAATAAAACATTTTAAATTACTTGAATTTTTATTAAATATAAGATTAATCAACAAGTTGTATGTTTCTGGTGACAAATGTGCAGCCTGTCCCTTTCTTTGGTGGTGACCAATGAATAGTCCCTGTTTCCCAGTTCTGCCTGATTCTCTTCTCATGTTCCAGAGATTAGGGAAGACAGTTACAGTAAGAAAGTAGGAATTGAGGTGTATTAACTAACTAGGACCAAGGAGACTAAACTTTAAGGAGGTGGCATTTCAGCTTGGAATAAAGAGCAGGGTTTTCTGTTCTGTTTTTAATAGAACTTTCTGGTAATGGAAATCTTACTCATTTCCATAACTGGAAATGTTCAGGACAAGGTTGCTGGACCTTGCAGCAGTTGTGGAGAGACCTGACCTGTGCAGCGAGTGTAGCTGGTGGGAAAGGGCCGGTGTTGGAGCAGGAAGGATGACCAGGGCTATGGCAAGCCGGGGAGTTGTCATGCCTTTGGATTTTTATTCTTAGATTAGCAGTAGTGTTATCCTGGGGACAGGCTTGTTTGTATACTGCTTTTGTAAATAACAGCTTGGCCTCCAAACCCGAAAAGTTTGTTTGAAGCAGTGGTTAGCCGGGGCAGTTCTGATCCCAAGTGACATCTGACAATGCTTGGAGACTCTTTTGGTTGTTACAGTTAGTGGCAAACCACTGGCATTTGGTGGGTAGAGTGGACATCTTGTGATGCCCAGGACAGCATTCAGAATTTATGTGCTCCAAAATTATCAATATGAGATTGAAGTGCTCCAAAGGAATTTAAAAATTAGCTCACGTACCAAATCTAGCACTAGTGCATTTTCTGTTTGTGTCCACAGTTGGCCAGAGTGACTACAAAGGTGGTCAGAATTTATGTTTGTGATATTTTCCAGCTAACAATGGAAAGGTTTCCCCAATAATCCCTAGAAAAATTAGTTTATACATCTGTATTAAAGCAATGTAGAATTTCTTAGGAAGATATGAATAAGACTCTAAATTACAATAGTGCATTAAACGTTTGTTAACCACCTCTTGATATTACTGTATTGATTCTTTCGGAGAAAGTGCTGTTTCCAGCTTTCTTCCATAAGTAAGCATTAGCCTGTTCTGAAAAAACTTAATCTCCATACACACAGGGAGAGAGAGAATATCATTAAATCATTAAGAAAAACAAAATATCTCTCTTCCTATGTGAATCTAGGAAGGGTCTTTACTCTTTCTTTGTCATGCAAATTAGAGACAAATACGTTTATTAGTGACTTTTGTTTATTTTTGAGATTAGCTTTTTTTTCCCTTTTTTTAAATTCTGGGAGTGAATGAAGGGCCTCATGCATGCTAGTCAAGTGCTGTACCACTGAGCTACACCCCAGCTCTTATCTATGAAATATTTATGTCCCTTAATCAGGGATGGATTGAAATCCTTAGTATTCTTTTAAAAAATCTCTGCAAGTGGTAAACAATAATATTTTATTAAACATTTATTCCTGGGGCTTGAGCTCAGGAGTGCTGTACTACTGAGGTACATCCCCAGCCCTTTTGATTTTTTAGTTTTTTATTTATTTTTTTGGTACCGGGGATCGAACTCAGGACCTTGCACTTGCCAGGCAGACATGGTGCCACTGAGCTACATCCCAGGTCCGATATTTTAGTTTTTAAATTTTGAGACAGGGCCTTGCTAAGTTGCCCAGACTGGCTGTGAACTTGTGGTATTTTGGCCTTGGCCTGGCTTCAGTGGTTGGGATTTATAGGTGTGTGCCAGTGAACTGTTAGAGTGTTACCTCTTCTTGATAAGTCTGTCTTTATGGGCTGTGGAGTCTGTTGCAGCTGCTCAGCTCTGCCATTGTACTGAGAAAGCAGCAGAGATAGTTTGCAAATAGGTGGGTGTGGCCGTATTTTGAGAAACTTTATTCATACAAACAAGATCATTATTACATTTGGCCTGGGGCAGTTAATTGATCTTCACACACGAGGAAACATTTCACACCTGCAGCCTAGTCCTTACCCCCCCC